ACGTGCGCTCGCGTGGGCGCGAGTGGGGCGGGAGGGCGCGGGCGAGGGTGCGGGCTGGCGGGGGGGTTGGCGGGTGGGCTGGGCGTCGGGAGGGCGTGGCCTGCTGGAGTCCCCAGCTGCGGGCTCCCTAAGGACGCCCCCTGCCCACGCTGAGTGGAGAGGCCTCTTGAGAGCTTTTTGGGGCGTGTTGGAGGCCCCGTGGGACGTCCGGAAGCCATCGTGGGCGTCTAGGAGCGGGACTTCGGCGCTTCTCGGCCGGGCCTCTGGGACCCTGGTGTCCTGTGTTGGGGGCTGTCTTGGGCCGCCTGGGGGCGTCCCTGGAGACCCGCTCCTCCCATGTCCTGCGGAGGTCCCTGGGCGCGGGCAGGGGGCCTCGTCCCCCCGGTATATGTAGATATAACAAAGAAATAACTCATCGATGTGTGTGTATATATATATATGTGTATGTATATGTAGGCATTGGATTGGGGATCGTACCCATCAGTCCAAGCCGCAGCCTCCTCGTACTTGGACCTGCATTGGATGCAAGTCCACCAATCACTCCAAACACGTGTGCAACACGTGCGGCATGCGACGCGCGTGGGCCGAGGCTGCCAGGGCCGCAATGCAGCCCTCGGAGCCACCTGCATCGACCCCCACGCCGACGAAAGGGAATCCAATGCAGCAGCAGCTTCAACTTGTTGCCCAGAAGCTTGCCCAGGGCACCGGGCTACTACCACCCACACTTGCGCCTTCGACACCGCCTCCCTCGTCCTGCGCGACTGCGCCCGCGGCACCCTCGCTCCATACTCCCGGGACGGAGAACGCCACTCCCAAGCGGATTGAGCTGGTGGCCTCCATCAAGCAGCTGGAGCCCGCTCTAACCTCCATTCCAAATGTACCTGTTCAGCAGGCGGCTCGCACTCAAGTTCAGCAGCAGTTAGACGAGCAGCGGACGCAGTTGGGCGACTTCAGACCCATCGGGAAGAGTCTAGATGGGGCTCGTGCGGCATTGTCGCGCAGCCGTTGTCGTCTGTCGACTGCCGAGGAGAGCCTCCGCCTTGCCCAGCAAGCCGTCGAAGCTGCCAAGGAGGAGGTGCAGAAACTCGAGACCGACGTCCGCAAGCTGGAGTTCCAGGTCCCCGTGGCCAGCGATGTCATTACGAACTTCACCAACACGCCACCATCGCGCAGCTCGCGTCCTTCAAAACTGTTGCCCCCGATGCTGTTGCCGAAACGCAGGTGCAGTCACAGAGCACCATCGCCAAGTTCAGAGCCACGTTGGAGCAGGCGGCTGCGGCTTCTGCGACTGCGCCGGCTACTCCTGGGCACCGTATCGCTACCATGGCATCCCCAGTGCCCCTCAGGATCGGGCCTGCCGGCAAGCAAGCGCCAAAGCGTTTCACGAAGAACTACTTCAAGGGCAAGACTGCTTTTTCCCGCCAGGCTGCGACCATGGAGACCGAGGAGTGACATCTCCTGCGGTGGCCGCTGTCAGCCTGCGGTGTGCCACCGCCAACGTGCTGACACTACATCCGCACACCGTTGACAAGTCTTACGCTAAGATTAACAAGGTGTGCTTCCGCAGGAAAATCACACCTTTGGAGCAACAGTTCCACGACCACCTCTACGATGTCGTTGGCGTTCAGGAGGGCCGGTCCAAGCGCGCCGAGCAGACCGAAGGCCAGCACTATACCATGTTGGCTGCTGCTGCGGAGCCCGACGGCTCCCTCGGAGTGCAATGCTGGGTTGGTCACGGTTCGTTCGTCCAGTTCTGGGCGGCCGTCTCCCCGCGCATCTTGCATGTCATTGTGAAACGCGTTGCGGTTCTTACGGGCTTCGTCGTTGCACAGTCTCCCCACAACATGGCCTCAGATGACTTGCAATTGCAATGGTGGGCTGCGCTCGCCGCCGAGATGCATCGGCTCATTAACAAATATATTATGCCGTGGATTCTTCGGATTGACGCCAAGGGGCGCCTTGGGTCCGTAGGCTCGCTGGCATGCGGACCAAGCACGCCAGAAACAGAGAACCCCAACGGCACCAGCTTGAGGTTGTTGGCTGGGACCTTCCACATGAAGATCGGGAACACTTGGGGAGAAGGCCGACCCACCTGGACCTCGACACACGGCACCACGCATCGGATCGATTACGTGGTTATGACGACTGACGTCTTGGACAGCATGAACTGGTGCAGCGTCAACCCAGGTATCGACCTCACTCTCAATGCCAAGGAGGACCACCGGGTAGTTGCCATGCTGGCGCGGATGCAGCCGCAACAACCGCCGATCATCATGGAGAAACCGTTCCGCGTCAACAAGCACAACCTCTCTTCTCCAGATCGTCGCGATACTCTCCAACACCTCATGTGGCGCTTTCCCGAGGTCCTGTTCCACAGTCCACATCGATGACCACCGCGCCCTCCTGGTGGAGTGGACTCGTTGGTCGGTTCCACTCTGCTTCGGGCCTCCTGAGCGTCGGCCCCGAAAGGCGTGGATGAGCCCCCGCGTGTGGGAAGTTATCCAGCATGTCGCTCCTCTTCGACGGGTGCGCTACCGCGTCGCCGCCGCCAGGTGTGCTGCATGGCGTGCGCTCTGCCTGAATGCGTGGCGTGATCCGCGCCCTCGTCTTCGTCATTCTTTTGGATGTGCTCGGGGACTCCGCGCTGACGTTGATCGGGGCTACAAGCACAAAACCTACATCGGAGCATACATTTTCGCTTTGCAGAAGCTCGTCCGGTCGCTCCTGGAGGAAGATCGCCCGAAGTATTTTGACAGCGTGGCCAGCGATATCTCCGTCGCCCTCGACGTCGGGGACTCCCGGAAAGCTTGTGCTACTCCCGGGGCCCCTGGTGGGCGCGCGTCCAGGCCGTGCCAATGCGCGCGCGATGCTTCGGGTAATTTCACGACGACGCCAGCTGAGGTCAAGGAGGTCTGGCAGCAGCATGCCGCCGCCATCTCCCAAGGGCAAGTCGCTGCTGCTGAGGCCCTCCGTCCTCCTCACACTTCCCCTCGTGGTTTGCCCACCGCCCTCGACGCAGGTCCCGGGGCGACTCGTTTGGCGCACCTCGCACTGAGGCGGAACAAAGGCGTCGAGAGAGACGGTTTACCAGCGGAAGTTCTTCAAGCAGGGGCGTCTGCTCTCGCATGCCGTTTTGCCGACATCAACGCGCGCGTCCGCGACGCTGGCGCATGGCCTACCGCTTGGCGCGGTGGCCGGTCCCAGGAAATCTTCAAACGTAAAGGCGACCCTACTGTCGCCGATGACTATAGGAAAAAGCCTCGCCAGCATCTTGCAGCAGGAGATCAACGACGCCTACGTCTCCAATCAACCCGAGTCCCAATGCGGAGCCATCCCGCGCCGAGGCATTGGTATGGCTGCACACGTTCTGCATTCACTTGTTGGTTATTCGGACATGGCTGATCTCTCCACTTTTGTTTTGTACGTTGACCTCGCGAAGGCCCGCGACCGGGTGATACGGCAGCTGCTCTACGGCTGGGGCACACCGTCCCGAGACCAGCAGCGCGGGCATCTACTGAAATTTTCGGTGTCTCCTTGCGCAGCTGATTAGATGCTTTCTTGTCTGGGCGAGCGGGGCCCTCTTCTGCAGCAGCGGAGCGCGGGCCCGGCAGCGGCTGAGATGATCCGGGCGCTGCGTGACACCGCTTGGGTCTCGGTGGCCGACCCTCCGACGCGCGTCGCCAGCCGCGCAGGGGGTCGCCAAGGCTGCAAGTTAGGTGCTGCCACTTTCAACGGCGTCTATGGCGCTGTGCTTGACATGATCGCCTGGGAGGCAAGGCGGGCAGGCATCGCGCTTGAGTTACCGCTGCCTGGCGGGCGTTTTTGGGCGAGCCCGCGCGCCGACACAACAGAAACAGAGCGTCTTCTCGATGCGGCCTCCATTGACGAGGAGGCGCTTGCCATCATGGCCAGGGCCCCGCACATACTGGATGACCACACCAATAAGTTGCTCAACGTTGTTCTTGATGTATTTGAGAAGCTGCATTTGGAGTTACGCGCGTCAGCTGGCAAGACGGAGGCCTCGTTGCAGCGGCGCGGTGCGCAATCTTGCGCTCGCCGGGGGGCTCGCGGGCAAGCAGGTGGCAGTCTTCGAACGAATCGTAGTGCCAGGGTGTGGCATGAGCATCGCAGTGGCCACATCGCAAAAGCATCACGGTGTTTTTACTTCCCTTCGCGAGCGCAGCATGGCGGGCGCCAATTTTAAAGCGACCCGTGTGCTTCAAGCCCATGCGCCGCTGTCATGGAAATGTGTTCGGATCAGTGCACGTACAGTGCGCGCGTAAGACTCGTTTCCTTCAATGCTTATTGATGAGCAAATCTTTCTTTTGGATCCAGGTGCCCCCCCCTTCTCCGAGGCAAATCAAGGAGGTAAATGGAGGGTGTATGTACTGAGACGCATCGCGAATGATCCTCGCTTCTGCAGGGCAGAGCACACCGATCGCAAGATCCGGGAGAAGTTACGGCAGCCTGCACGCGAGTGCCACATCGCCCGCATGCGTTTGAGATATCTTGCCCGGGTGGTCGCTCACAGCCCTCGGGCTTTGGTAGCTCTTCTGCACGCCCGGCTTGGAGGCATCCTTTGAAATGGGCGCGGCAAGTAGAAGCATATTCCCATTTTCTCCACCCCTTCTTGCCTGGCGATTTGCCTTCCTTCTCTCCTGGCCCCCTCGCTCGGCATGATCTCATGTTGAAGCGATCTGAGTGGAACGCGCTGGTGGATCGTATATTGTTTGTCCCGTCCATATGTGACCAGACTCGTGCTCCCCCGAAGCCTGGCCAACCAGCGCAGCATTCGCGCCCATCTTTCAATTTAAGAAAATGTATATAATGTCTATATATATATGGATTACGAATGCCGTCTTTTGGCAGAGATAGCCGTGTGTGCTTGGGCCGCCTTCCCTCGGAGTATCCTGTACACTCAGGAATACCACACGATGCAGCGGACGACGACGATGACGACGACTTTGACGATACGAGCACAGAGGGGAGGCCCCCGCGGCCGTCGGCGAGCTTCATCTTCGCCAGCGCGTGGGCGATGCCAGCCAGTGCGGGGGCGTCCGCCTCGCGCAGGCTCGCCGCCTGGGCCCCCAGCGCACCCAGCCCCCGTGGAGAAGGGGTCCTTGGGGCCGCAAGGGGGGGGGGGAAGGAAGGGAAGGAAGGGAGGGATGGTAAATGCGGGGGTCGTCGTCAAACGAGGGAGGGAGGGAGAGTGGGGGGGCGGGAGTGAGGGAGGGATAGCGGCGACGGAAGGATTGAAAGAGGGAGGGAAGGAGCGGGAATTAGACTTGGACACTTCGTGCGGACTAGATATTACAAGCCAGCGCGGGCATACCACAGGGCTCTGTCCAACTCTCTAACCCCAACTGGACCCAATGGTCCTGGCGAGGAGGGAGAGGCAACGGGGAGGAGGGGTGGGGAGGGGGGGGAGAAGGAGGGAGGAGGGAGAACGCCTGACCAGGAGTGAAAACAGGGTAGAAAGGCTGGAAGAAAGGGGAGGGACGGATGGAGGGGCAGGGTGGGGTTGGGAAGCGGAGGATCGGATCGACTTGGCGGAAGACAGCGTCATGCTCCACAGTGCCAGCCGGGGCCCTGCTGCTGCCTGCGCCCCGATCGCCCCCCCCCCAGGCTCCAAGTTTGCTCCAAAAATGCTCCTCCTCCCCCTCCTCCTCCTCCTCCTCCTCCTCCTCCTCCTCCTCCTCCGTGGGCCAAGCGTGTCGAGGGTCACGCTCAAGTAGCTACTTCTATGGCGCTCTACGCCTGGCGGCGGAGAGACGCCGCGGCCCCAACTCCATGCGCCCCGGGAGGCGGAGGAGGGTGAACGGTGAACGGTGCCCGCACGAGTGTCCACGCGAGGGGACTAAGCGGGTCGGGGCCGGAGCGCCCGCAAACATGCAATGGACTACAAGATGGAGAGACACATGGCTCGCAAGTATTCTTAGAATGTTCAAAATATGCTCCAGCTCACTCCACGGAGGAGGGAGCAGGGGGGAGGAAAAGATAGATGAGGGAGGGGACCGCCCGACCCAGAGTGACGAGGGAAGGGACGATAGGAGAGGGAGGGCAGCGCACGGGCGCGAGCAGACCGCCTGGCAATCGCTCTCGCGCGGACTCAACACATGCCCTCGACCCCTTCTGGGCCCTGATGGTCTTGCAGGGGATAACAGGGGAAGGAGAAGGAGGAGGAGGAGGAGGAGGAGGAGGAGGAGGAGGAGGAGGAGGAGGAGGAGGGGGAGGAGGGGAGGCGGATAGGGGCGGCGGGGACGCATGCGGACCCTGCCGCTGGGGCCTGCGGCGGAGCTGCCAATGGGGCCAGGCAGCGTCAAAGGGGCGGATCGAGATGGGCGGCAGGGCCGCATGCGGGCGCTGCAACTGGGGCATTCGGTGGAGCTCCCTGTGGGGCCACGGGGAGCGTGGGTGGTGAACCGAAGGAGGGCAGAAACAAGGACGGGGGGATGAAGAAGGGTGATGAGGAAGAAGGGAGAGACGGGAAAGCACGGCGGTGCGGATTCAGAACGAGGACCAACCACCACAGGATGGTTGGGAAAACAATTAAGGCTGAAAGGTGTCAGCGAAGTGGCACCAACGGGGAGTCAAGTCCCACCATCCCTCTGGGCGTAAGTGGTTTAACGAACTGTGTCTTCTATCTTCCAACAGCCCCTCCTTCCCCTGCTCGGGGGAAGAGCTTCCCCCCTCCCCCTTCCCCCTCCCCTGGGCCTGGGCGGGAAGGGGGGCCAGAGGTTAGAGCATCAAAGATGGCCCAAGATGGCCCCAAGAGGGCCTCTGAGAGTGCAAGATGGCCTCAAAGATGGCCAAGAAACCTCAAGATGGGTCAATATGGCTTCCGACACACAACCAAGAGGCCTCAAGACGGCCCCAAGACGTTTTCAAGTGCCCTACGAGCCCTCCAAGGACCCGCCAAGACGCCGAAATCCTCCAAACACTAAAGATCAATCCGTTTTGCAGTATCGTCCTTTCGCTTCCTATGGGCTCTCGAGGCCTCAAGATGGCCTCAAGACGGCCCAAGATAGCCCCAAGAGGGGACCAGGAGGGCCCCAAGAGCGCCCAAGGGCGCCCCAAGAGGGCCTCAAACATGATTGGTTAGCCTTCGGGGGTGGGACCTGAATCCGTGCCCCGCCTCTCTTTGACTTGGTTCGCCTTAGTTGAATATGCTAAAGTTTGTTGTTTGGTTTTAGCGCTTAAAGGTCCGCGTCTTGGACATACATGTTTTTCGCGCTTCCAAGTCTCAACAACAAAAACTAAACACGCTAAAACAACGATGCGTTGTTTAGCGCTGTCAGACATTGTTTAGTGTCGTCAGCCTGAACCACGCATACACACAAAACGCCCAAACAACGCCAAACAAACGCCAACACAACCGCCCTACAACCGCTTTAACAACGAAAACGTTTCGCTTTTTTTTGGTGCGTCTTCAGCCTGTCAAGAGCCCAAAATAGAAAACGCAAAAAAATGCCCAGGGCGCTTCTGAGGCGAACCAAGTTCTTTGAGACATGGGGCCCAAGATGGCCCCAAGAGGCCTCCCGGATCTCCCAACGAGCCCCAAGAGGGCCCCAAGAAAGCCTCAAGAGAGCCCCCAAAGGGCCTCAAGAGTGCCCCTAGGGGCTCCGCGAGGATCCTTAGAGACCCACAGGATGCCTCCAAGAGACCTCCGAGAAAACGCTTCCAAGGTAGTTGTTGCACTGCATGCTTCTGCACTGCCCTAATCAAGGCAACTCGACGGGCGATCTGTTTCTGTATGGGCCGGTGGGGATACTGTTTCCGTCGCAGCCGCAAGCGAAGGCGCAGGCGGCGTCAAAGGTCGACCCGGGCTACGGGCGAAGCCTAA